GTTGCTGCTAGTCTCTGTTATGATGCCTGGGGATGCTTTCCTGTTGGCTCGTGGTTTGAGGGTACAAAGGGTTTGCTGGCTGATGGGTTGGTTGTTGTTCTTGGCTTTCTATGAGCATGTTAGGGTGCTCTCTTTTTGTATCATGCTGATGCCACCTTTCTGTTCTTTCTGTTTTGGGTATGTAACGGTAAAATTTCTGTGTAGGATGTCAAGGGTTGTGTGTGGGCCATTGCCCTTAGTGTTTGGTACTGGTACAGGTAGGTAGATCCTAGATCAAGTGATGCGACCAATATCTAATCGAGTAGCAAGATTCTTTTGTAAAATGTACAGGTTTCACTACCCTCATTAACCGTTTATGCCATAAGTCTTTTGTATAATAAGCTCAAGACTTGAAATGATTTGTTGGTGTTCAGGTTAATAAAATCACCTTTTAAAACAAATCGGTTTAGTTAAAACAAATTTTGATTGGCTAATCAAATTAACTGACTTCACAATAAATGAAAAAGAACATATCAATAAAAATTGAACCCACATCACTTTACTAAATATAAGCACTTTATTTATTGAGCGAAGACATCTTGCTTTACTTAAATTTACAATTATTTATCTATTCTATTGTAATGTAATAGTGTTTGCAAATTTATTAACCTCACCAAGTTTGGCCTTAAAAGAATTATATGATCTTTTTTTTTTTCAAAGGTAATTTTATAGTCTCAGTGATCCGTATGTCATTACAAATGTTTTGCTTAGTGTAATAGACTTTTCATGACACATTAACTTGGTTTGGGCAATAGAAAACGGCAGCTTTACAAGAGAGGCTGCTCAAAAAGCACTAGCGGAAAAGACTGAAAGTCCTAGCTCCTACCTTAGTAAGAGAAAAGAAAGGGACTACTTCCCTCAATACAAAACAGCATGCAAGCAGTGCACAAAATCTCCTGTACCAAGAAAGGGAAGCTCATCCCTATTACATTACAAACACGCTAATCCTAATAACGAACGAAAAATTCCAATCTGGTGGTAGACAAAAATTCGACAATAAGTTGACCCCTCAAAAAACGTCAGCGCCAAGGTCAGAGAATCAGACGGTATAACCTGGCACCAAAAACATGCAACAAACCGGCACCAAGCCTCTGAAGCAACACCCCGCAGCAGTTCCCTGAGCTTAAGCAGATGAGAAGCTCAAGAGACGCAACCACCTCTGTAACAGAAAGAAGGACAAAGAACAACAAGCAACAGCAAAACCTCATCAACCCGACCAGTGGAAATTCTTTTGAAAAAAAAAAAATTGAACCGTCTTCCTTGGACATAAAGATAAACCCTTGATATATACAAATTTAATGACTTTCTAGCTATAAAAGAAATTTTTTAACCACAATACTATTAGTTTTATTTTGAGTCAAATAAGCTTTTTCTGATTAATGGTTAACTGAATTAAAATGTCATTTGTTATTCTATATCATATGATATGTGACACATTAACATGTTATAATAAATGATGATGTCCCATGGCAATAATAAACCCGTCATGCACTACAGTCCTCACCGAAAAAACCATCAACTCGGAGGAGCCTGAAAACAAAAGGAACCACAGCTAGCTAACAAAAATGATCACCATCAGTTTTCTTTCCGAGTTTTTGCTACGGCATCCCAAAATCAGCCATACGTGTTAATAATGACGTCTAAGGTAAAACAAAGTAGCACAAGGATGAGAAAGGCCTATTTTCTATTTCTATAATTTGGTACAGAAAGAAGGGATATGAGCACAATCCTAATCGAACACAAGACAGCTAAAAATAACAGCTCATGTATTACAATGACAAAAGCTAATCCACTCATCATATTTCCACAATGAAGGGAAAGTTCGCACAAAAGAAGTCTAGAATTTCTTGTAAGGATATTCCCAAGTTAATAACTAGATAATTTGAAAACTTAATTTTTTAACCTCATAACTTTGAGTTTATTTTTTGGTACATACATTTCCTAATAACTTCATATATTATTACATCAACAAAATTCACAAAAATTGAAACTAATAATTACACAAATATTTATGTTAACATTAATGTTGACTGATAAATAATCTATATATGGTCTATTACTTGGGATTCTTCTTTGGCTTGCCAATCATTTTATTCGCGCCAAATTCTTGACATATTTTCTCCTCCCATTAATTGCTGTCATTGAAAGGGTTGGAAATCCACAATTACCTTTTGAGGCATAAGCTTTGTGTGTATCATTCATTCAACAAAATGTTTGTTTTGACCGGCCAAAAGGAGTTCATATTGATTCCCACCTTTGCCTATAAAGAAGCAAGAACTTTGCAAAGAGTATTAAGCCGCCGCAACTGTGGACAGTGCAGCAAGGCCTATTAGAAACTGACAATTAAAGCTTCGAAATGATTTCCTCAATTAAACCCGCAATTTTGGCAGGAAGTTTCTTTCGGAAGGCATTAACAATAATTTAAACGACATTTCATTCTAATTAAACAATGCAATGGCATCATTTGGTCGGCCTCCAAGTCTCGTATCATTCCTCTTTCTCCAAATGAGATAAATTCTTTGTTCTCATAGAAATTGCGAAGAAATCTCTTCGCTCTCTAAGTAGCCTCAACTATGTTTCTCATTATATAGTGCATGCGATACTTCCAATATTTAGTTTACATGACTTGCGAATATCGATGGTATATCCTAACAACTTGCATCCTTGTTTGCATATAAACATCTACCAAACATGCTTGATCTCATTCAAAGCTTGCCTGGGGCTGACGTCGAAAGTTCCATAGCTTTACGCTGCTTCAATGGCGTTTCAGTTCCTTCTCATCTTCGCTTTACTCAATGTAAGCCTCATGGGTTTTGCGCTATCTGCTTTTTATTTGCCTTAGACTTCTAACTTAAACATGTTCTTTAAATCAAAGAGACGTTGGGAAGAACAAATTTTAGCATCCTATAATAAGCTTTGAAAATTCAAAAGCTGAAGTTTTCGGTTACAATTTGCAGAAATTAGTTGTCACTAAGAAACTTATAAGTAGTAGGTACAGTTTCATCAAAATTTTCGAACCAAGAAAATTACTGTTAATCTCATAATTTCTATTAGGTATGACTTTGTAAAACTCTATTTGTAATTATTTGTCTCTACATTTACTGTTTTCAAATTTTGTGGCAGCTTGCATTTGCAGGAAGCCATGCCACTCTGACTAAGGAAGAGCTTCACTGGATAGAGGTGTTCCCAAACACTCCAATGCCAAAAGTTTTGCAAGATATTTTACCACGACCTGGTTTGTTTTGAATATGAATTCCTCTCTCTCTCTTCCCATTTATTAATAATTGCGTCAAGCCAAGCATGGCATAGAGCAGTAAATAATTTAATGTCCAAAACATTGAGATTATATCTTTCATTTTCTAGGCAATATTTTCCTTTATAATCGATCTTTTGATTAGTTAATTGATGAAAGTAAAGTTTTCAAAAGGTTTACGTACGACCGTGGTGTTGCTTTTCGTATAAATGAGTTAAGTTATTTTATCTTTTCACAAACGTAATTAATATACATAGGAAACACAACCTTTCTGTTTGATATGCTTTAGGAAAACATAAATTTTTATGTAGGCTTTTTAAATTATGTATGAAGGTCAAAGCACAATATTCAGAGGCCAGGTTGCTCCAGATCAAAAGGGTATAAATGATCCCGAGTTTGGTGCTTATTGGTATGGTGATAATTCAGGCAAAAATTCCAAAGGTGAAGATGCTCCTTCGAACAAAGGTGTAAATGATCCAGAGTTTGGTGCTTATTGGTATGGTGATAATTCAAACAAAGAATCCAAAGGTGAAGATGCTCCTTCGAACAAAGGTGTAAATGATCCAGAGTTTGGTGCTTATTGGTATGGTGATAATTCAAACAAAGAATCCAAAGGTGAAGATGCTCCTGCAAACAAAGGTGTAACTGATCCAGAGTTTGGTGCTTATTGGTATGGTGATAATTCAAACAAAGAATCCAAAGGTGAAGATGCTCCTGCAAACAAAGGTGTAAATGATCCAGAGGTCGGTGCTTATGCTTATGATCCTGAATATAAAGGTTCAGTGAAAGTATCCAAAGGTAATGATCCAATCGACAGAAAAAAAATTTTTTACAATCACTTAAAATGGATTTTCTGATGCAATTGTCTAACGCTTTCTCTATGCAAACAAATGTAAAATACTCCAACCAACAAAGGTGTAAATGAACCACAGTCCAGAGGTGAAAATGCTCCATCAAATAAAGGTCCAAAATGATCCAGAATTTGGTAATTATGCTTATGATTCTGAATATAAAGGTTTAGTGAAAGAATCCAGAGGTGAAAATGCTCCATCAAATAAAGGTCCAAATGATCCAGAGTTTGGTAATTATGATTCTGAATATAAAGGTTCAGTGAAAGAATCCAAAAGTGATGATCCAATCGACAGAAGAATTTTTTTTCTGGTTTTGATGAACGTTTACAATCACTTAAAATGGATTTTCTTATGCGATTGTCTAACGCTTTCTCTATGCAAACATATGTAGGAAACATAAATTCATCGGGGAGAAAGAGTAAAACTGACAATACCGCTGTGAAGGAAACTATCTATTTCTTGCCAAAGGATCTTCTCCCTGGTAAGAAGGTGAATTTACCAAGACTCGTACAGAAAAGGGACAGGGGTACGTTCTTGCCTCACCTTATTGCAGAGTCAATTCCCTTATCCAGCGACAAGTTACCAGAAATTTTGAAGAACTTCTCGCTGAAAGATGAATCAAGGGATGCTAATAATGTGAAAATAACAGTTAAGAATTGTGAGAGGGCAGAAATGAAAGGAGAAGAAAAGTACTGTGCCACATCCTTAGAATCTTTTGTCGATATGAGTGTTTCAATGCTTGGAAAAGAAATCCGGCTGCTATCTAATGAGCTTAGAAAAGAAACGAAAAACCCATTGTTTACAATTGCTAGGGCAGTGCGAAACATGGGAGAAAACGATATAGTATGCCACAAAATGAAGTATCCATATGCGGTATATTTATGCCATTCAATCAAGAAAACAGTGGTGTATAAAGTTCCATTGGTAGGCACAGATGGGACAAAAGCAAATGCAGTGGCGGTTTGCCATAAAGATACATCAGCTTGGAGCCCAAACCACATTGCCTTTAAAGTTCTTAAAGTTAAGCCAGGAGCTGTCCCCATTTGTCATTTCCTCGGTAGAGATACCCTCGTCTGGGTTCCCAACTGAATTGTTAAACGATCAGAATAATGGCTACCTGGTATTCTAAAAGGAGTATTGTAACATAAAATAAGTTAAGCCTCTCTCCTTGTTTCAAATGTCTGTGCTTCGTGTACGGGTATTTGTACAATATTTAATCCCTAATAACCAACAACCTAAGAGTGGTTAAATTTTCTGATAGACTTCAATTTTGTGTTTTTATTTTTGTGCAACTAGCTATATAGCAGTGCTTAGTCATTTGGGTTTTCTTTAGACTCTTCATCCGGGGTTTAGTCTCATGTATACTTTTTTTATAATAAAATTTTCATAGATAATTTTAAGAATGACATACGTAAATATAAGACACAACATATATTTCAAATATATATATATATATATATATATAAAACAAAACAAAGAACATGAATAATAAAGAGTAAATTTTACATACACCACTTGTGGTATGATATTTTCGCACATAACATTTTGAGGTTATTTATTTTTTTTCACATAAAAATCTTGTGTACGTACACCCAAATCACTATCTCTAAATTTAAGTGTTAATTATTTTTTAACCCTATAAAATCTTTTTATAGGGCCAAGTATAATATTTTTTTCTTAATACAATTACGGTATGTTGTACTAATTTAACTAGATTTAAAGACTATCTCAAAATGGTATACTAGTTTAATTAGAATTAAACTATTCTAAACAAACTACAATTTAAAACTATTCTCACAAATGCTATGACACATAAGGAATTGAAAGGTATAAATTCTCTACACTAGTTTGATGGAGATGGAAGTGAATAAAAATGCTCCCACCAAATTAATTAAACTCAATGTATAAAAGATTGAATGGGAATTATTATTAGCATTAAGTTCAAAAAGTGGTTTCAAGGAAAAAAAAATGTAGGTGCATGTATTTTCCTATACAAAGAGGTAGATTCAAATCTTTTCTTTCAATTTAAAAAAAAAAACACTCTCATGTTCTTTTATACTATAATAATAGTTAATTTAATGTAGTAAATGCTGTAACAAAAAAATCAATAGAGAATGGGTCAGTTTTCAAATAAATTTGACCTTCCAAAAGAAAATATATCATCATTTTGGACAATGAAAGCCATTTTTGTTTAGAAACAATAAGGCTTTCCTACTGTTGATGCTAAAATTTGGGTCTGAGATCAACATGATCTTCAATCGGGCATCTGCAAGATAAAGGCAACTAAAGAGGGTGCCAGAATTTGGACTTGAGGGCACTCTCAACTGTCAAGTCAGTACCCAGTAAGAGGGCTGTAAGAGAAAGTAGTGAGAGTGTGTAATATGAAAGTAACAATAGGACCCCTTTATAAAAGTCATTTCCCATATATATATATATAGGGGATAACAAATTTCCTTTTGCCACAGCATCTACCACTTGAGATTGCCCCGTAATGCCTTTTAATGCATGTATCGAAAATTTAACAGCTAAAAAAAAAAGGTTGAAAGAAGAATTGCTTTTTCATGTAAATGTCATGAAGACGCTACAAAAAAATTAAGTTTTAATCACATTTTTTTAAGTGATATATTTTTTTGTATAGTCAAACTTTAAAAAGTGCAGCTATTTCAACTTTTAACTTCACTTTTTTTAGATTTAGTAACAAAATAAAAAAGTAAAATATTTGCTAATAAATGTAATTTTTATTATTATATTTTGTTCATTATGCATCTAAAAATTTAGATAAGTTATATTTACAAAAATATTTTAAAAAATATAAAAAAAGTGTTGTTAAAAATATTTTTAATAACACGTTTTAAAAATATGCTGTTTTAAATCAAATTTGTTGCAGTGAGATTTACTGTTTCACAAACTATATATAGGAAACAAGAGGCCTTCAACCGATTTGACCGTAGATAATGCGGATACAGACGATCAAAGCAGCTCGGTTTTTAAAGGTAACTATTGAACACTGACGTATTGGTATCCTTCTACTGCTTCAATAATTTGATAACCAACTTCATCCATGACTCACTTTATTAATTGTCCTGCTTTGTTAAAAAAACACCAGTAATAACGAAGAACACCTTTATTATCATGTCGAGATCTTGGCCAAATGTGTTTTCACAGTATAAATTTGACTTTTAACCGTATTTTCTTTAATCTATGTTCGTTGGAAACCCTTTAACAACAGTGTGTTTGCACTTTTATATCCACTCTTATAAATTTTATTATAGCACTATACAAATACTGTTGTAGAATTTCGAGTAAAAAACTATATATAAAATAGATTTATTAGCAAAGGAAACAGTTGCTTCATAGCTTCTAAAGGTGAAAAATAATTGTGTTATAACACTTTCAACTCACTTTTAACATTTCAAATATATATTCGAGTATTTACTTTTGATTCCATTTCAGTTTTAGCAATATGTGAGATAAACTATATGTGCTAAATTAGGAAATGCTTTGCAACTCAGTTGGCACATATAATTATCGAGATTCAAGGAAGGAATTCAAAAGGGTGAATGCTCCTATCAATCCATTCATAATTTATGAGAATACAGGCTCAAATAAGGAACTCAAAGGTATATATTCTCTTAACTATTTTGATCGATACGAAAGTAAGGAGTACAAGATGAAAAAGTTCCCATCAAATTACTTAAACTTAACAATTAAAAGATAGAATCAATTTATATATTGGAATATACTTTTGACACCATTTAAATTTGACAATTATGCTAACTTACAAATTATTTTGCAATTTTGTTGGTGCTTATAATTATCAAGACTCAAGCAAAGAATTGAAAAGTGTGAATTCTCCTGTTAATCCATTTATAATTTATGCGAGTGTCGACAATGAGAAGGAACTCAAAGGTATAAATTCTCAAAACTATTTTGATGGATACGAAATTGAGTTCAAAAGTGAAAAAGCTCCCATCAAATTAATTAAACTTAATATTTGAAAGATAGAA